GAAAGTTGGCCAAATCTCAGAAAAGGAATTTTGAACAACCGCCTGACTGCTCACTGTGCAACGTGCTTTAAGAGAGAGGACTTGTATGCAGCAACTTCGCCGAGTTGTTCTCGAAACCGGGGCGCAGCTTATCCTAAGCTCATCTTGGCGCAAGCTGCCTGTCTTCCATGTCTTTTCAGGACTACAAGCATTTCTGAGTATTGTGTTTTGTGCCCTGTTTGTCGTTGCATCTCCAAAGTGGAAGTAAGGTTTCTGATTCTGGGACATGACTTGGCACGCTAGAGGATCAGCAAAGGCAAGGACCAGCTTGGGACTGACATTTGACATGTCTCATCCTCCCAGGTTCGAGTCGACGCGTGAGATGCTCTTGGAGAACTTGGCCCAGCATGGGCTTTCCTTTCGAGAATGGACAACCGTGGCGGGCGGAGAGAGCAACGATGCCCGTGTTGATCAGATCCTTACATTTGTGACAGCTTCCGATGTTGGATCTTGGGCTGTTGTGGATGATGAGGATCCTTGCCTGTTTTTCAGCTGCGTTTCGGTGTTGTGAAAGGCTGTCTTTTGAGTGTTCAAGCGGGCTTATCTTTCATCAAAAATTTGGGATGCTTTTGCAGGATTTGGCACCCAGCAGCACGCTTGGATCGGAGGGCATGATGCGGTTCACTGACCTGGAACTGGCTTGTTTTCACATGTTTCGGTTGGCGACCAGTCAAGATCAGTTTGTGGCCCCATGTTTTGTTTCCTGAGATTGACCCACATTGCAAGAAATCATTTGGCTACAACAACCAGGAGTTTATTTCGGCAGCATTTCGTCCGCACCGATGCGTCACAGGGCCTGGATTCAGATGCGGCTGACGCTCTCATCAAGGTGTTAAACGACGAGTCAGATGAGGACTGAGACAACACTGTGAATGGCTTTCGCGACCGCTGCTGCATTGTCCATTGCCTGCCCTGGCCAGACATTGCTACTTGCAAGCCTCCGGCCTCAGCAGATGGGTCCAGTCGTCTGAGGAGTATGATTGCCGCAATAAGCTGGTGATGGACGTGATGTGCTCGTCTCCTCGCACGCTGCTGCAGAAGATCCTTGTGCGGACGGAAGCGCAGAAAACGGATACTGTACAGTCCATGTTGATTCAGTACTCTAGGTCTGCAGGGCGGCGCAGCATGAGAAAACCGGCGTGAAGTTCCTGCAAGGTTCTGGACGCGCTGATGCAGTCGACCGAGGTGGAGCGCCCACACCGGCTCGGGTCTCAAAGCTGATGAGAACTTGTTATGTCTTTTGGCTTGTCACTTGTGCCTACGCTTTCATCAGGTTGGCCTGAGTGACGAGGTAAGCACTCGTCACAGAGCGTAAGAGCACTTGAAAGGCTGTGGTAAGCTTTGCCAGGCCAGAAGCAAGCTTCTTCAAACCAGCGATGAAATCAGCCGGAGGATGGAGGTTGGGTGCAAAGAAGTTCCGATGGTTTGCAGAGCTGCTGAGACGTACATCCACCTCTTTCAGGAGCTGCTTTCGCGGCGAGGGAAAGCCCTGCAGGCAGCGCTACACTTTCCGCTTTCATTTTCCAAAGCCGAAGTGCACAGGTCCTGGTGGAGCCAGCTTCAGTGGCCGATGCCGCGTAAGAGGTCCTCAGCTTTGTCCGGCGACCAACGAGGCCTACAAGTCTGATGGTGTGCTGTAGGTTGTAAATCCGCCTTGAGTGCGCGTGGGTCATCATTTCTGTAGGTTTGTCCTTACGCAGTCTTTGGCTTCAGTCCTCCAATTGGTTTCTGCCAATTGGCCATGGTCGTCCTGGCAGTAGGCGGCCTGGAGACGTTGGAGACGCGCAGGCAGAGCATCAACGAGGCACCTTGCGGAGAACTAGCATGTGTCTGCTAGGTGCAGGTAGCGGGTCCAGAGTAACTTAAGGTTCAGTTGCCACAAGCCACAGTCTTGAAGGCACAGCCCCAGCTGTGAAAAACAGTCTTTCGATGATCAGCATGATTCACTCCGATGCTCAGCTGGACGAGCTTCCAAATCGAATTTCCCAGAGACCCTTTCCCTCAAAGCTCCAGCCAGTGCCCTTGCAAGTTGGATGCAAATGCTGGCGCTCCTAGGGGGCCAATGCAAATTCGCATTCCGTTGGGGCAGGCTGGCGAGAAGCACGGGCTGCAGCGAGCTCCCATTCTCGCTTTCTGCGGGCGTCACAGCCTCGTTGCTTGCATGCATCTAGGCTTCCAACATTTTTCAATGCTGCTAAAGCTGGTCGTTGATTGTCTCCCAGGCCGGCATCACCGCATTGGCAACGGCGCTTCGATTGGGTGGACGCCGTTGCGCTACTGCCAGGCTTCCCCCCAGGACGTCATTTCTGGAGAGATGTTTATGCATACTACATATCTGCACATAAATATGCGGAGTAAGATTAATGATGGTGTCCTGTTGGTTGCAGCATTTTGTCAGCAACATGGGATCTTACCTGGCTTAAGCTGAAGGGTGATTGCCCCAAATGGGCCAGAGAGCCAAAACCGAGCCTGCAGGACCATACTCCATTTGCAAAGTCCAACAAACCTAAGTCCGCAGCGTCAGGTCAGCACACAGGCGGCCTCTAGCGGGAGCCCGGAAACGATCGCGGCGTCGCAACAAGGCTATGCCACAGTCCCGATTCGCGACTCCCGTACCCTACACTCGGAGATATTAATTTGGTACTCTTTTGGCGTCTGAATCTTGGTACATGCTGGCATGGCTAAAGTCTCAGAAATAGCCACTATGGCACGATGCCCTGTTCGCAGCAATGCGCATTTCCCTTTGTGCTGGGAGGTCCCCAAGATCGGCAGATTTGCTCCGCACCAGGACCTGGAAAACTTTTTTGGGTTGATGGTGGAAGGACGTGCGTTCGGGTTGCATTCTTCAGGACCCCGTGGACCTCACAAAGGAAGACCACCCTAATCTGGCTAGTGATGCCTCCAAGACGCCCACTGAAAATGCCCTGCAACTTCTACGCGCACGGGAACAAGGCGTCCGCTACTGCCAGCATGCTGGTGGGGTTTAGCGGATGCCTACTTAATCTGAGGTGTTATTCTGAATCCTGTGGACGTTGCTCTGGCTGGAGGGGTCATAGCAGCCTCCAGGCGGCACTGGGGTTATTGTAAATCGTAGCAACTTTGTTTTCTGAGTGCCTAGCCTGCTTGTTCACTGTAGAACACACCAAGGAGTCTCAGACAGCGGTTTCTGATGGTCTGCTGGCCTTCGATGCTGCTCTGCATGAGCTGACATTGAAGAAATGCTTGTATCATGGATGGATTATGTGTATTTTCCCCCAACTCAGCATCGAACTGCTTGTCAGCAAAGCTCATGCAGGCAAGATGTTCATATTTGGCACAGCTGCTCACAAAATCCGCTGCTTCGCCTGGTGCCGTCCTTCTTTGTGAAGTCAAACCATGGCTGGCCATGTGCAAGCCATCTGCGGCTAGAGGTACTGCTCCACCAGCTGGGACTGAAAGGTGGCCTTAAGGCGGGCCCGTTGTGCCGAGATCGGGTATCCAGCGCTTTAGTTTCAATTACTGTATCCTTTTTGTGGAACAGTATGCAAAAAACTTGCCGTCGTTGTGCTGTTCGAGAGGACCTTTCATTCTGTCAACCATTCATATGTGTTTGGGAGTTTTGTAGGAATATGTTGGCAACGACCTTGACAAGCACGAGACATGGGCTCGTAGCCTCCTAGCAGTGACTTGCTGAATCGTGAGTCTTTGACGGAACAGTCCGTAGTGACGTGGAACACCACTGAGCTTTGCAGGCATGGTCAGCACTTGGCATCAGCAATGCAAGGGTCATGGACACAGTTGGGCAGGCTCGCAGAAGCCGTTTGGGCACACTTTTGTTTCCGCGACCATAGCGGTTCCAGTCGCTTATGTTGCTTGATCTACAGGTGGCCGTGTTCCTGAACGGACAGCAGCACGCACACTCCAAGCAGAAACTCGAGTACGACCTGATGCTCGGCTGCAAGCTTGCTCCATGTTGATACTCAACTTGTGTGTGGCTCAAGTACAAAAAGTGTTTCAGGTCTTTCTGCTGGTAAC